GCTGGGGAGGGACGGCAGGGGGCGCAGCAGCGCGAGACTTTCTGTCCCGCGCTCCCTGCGCGGTGGTGAGTGATTCCATTAGAGATTTGGGGTATTTTTGCTCACTTCCGGGTGATTCCACCCTCTCCAGCCAAAGGGCTCGTGTTAAAGGAAAGTCTAAATAAGCGGCCCCTTAGAGCCCCGCGGTGCGCTAGCTCTCACGCCTTTGAGCGCCTGAGCGTCACCGTGAGGGCCAAGCGATGAAAATGCAGATTCCCGGCCCGAGTCCTCGGAAATGACGGTTCCTCGAAGCTCTGGAGGGGGGTGTGCGTTTCAATAAGTGCCCCAGGCGGTGCTGGTGCAGGTAGCCGTGCAGATGCTTGAGTAAAATGACAGGCCGTAAGATTTCTGGAAATTTCTCACGTCTGGTACCGGGGGGTTGTAAATGCTGGCGCTTTCAGGTGCTGTTTTTAAACCGAGTGCACAGCCTTTGGGTAGATAATGTTGCAGCCGCTTTGGACACAGCGTCCTGCATGAAGTGCCTTTATTAGCGCGTCACTCACTGCGGCCAGCGCTTCAGCCACCAGTGTGTCCACATGCGGCACCAAAACGTTCTCGTCTCATGGTTGGCCCTGTCGTGGTTTCCTTGTCGTGTGTGGGTTTTGTTTCTGATTTTGCATGTAAGTGTCGCAAAACACTTCCCATTGCAGGGCCTGGTCATGCGTTTTGTCCGCTGAACAAACATTTACTAAGTACCTACCAAGGGCCAGCCATTTTGCTGGGTACATTGGAGACACGGGTGATTATGTTCTCCTGGAGGGGAACGCGACCATATCTATATATAAAAAAAAAAAAATGCACCTTCATTTTGGTGCACGGTTTTGCTTCTAGAAACTTCTACAGAAATCCACACCTGAAAATTGTATGCAAGCATGTTCTTTGCAGCACTGTCTCTAATGCCATAATATATTAATTCTGAGAGGCACATTTTAATCTCTGTGAAACTGGGTGCTTCATACAGTCAGTGGAATCTTTGGTTTGAGGAAATAAGGAAATGAAAAACTGGAAGATGCTGCAAAGTTTGTCAATAGGAGAATGGCTAAATGAATTAAATACACTCACTTTATGGACGACGGGGCAGCCTTTCAGAAGGAGGAAGGAGAAGCACACAGGTAACCACGGAGAAGTGTCTGTGACGTCCCAGGTCCCCAAAGCAAATGGCAGAACAGTAGAGGTTAAGAGTGTGAGCTCGGAAGTCAGCCTGCCCGGGTTCAAATGCGGCTTCACCACCTGGTAACTGTCACCTTGGTTTTCTCTTTTGTGAAATAGGGAACAAAAATAACACTTACCTTGTAGGCTTGTTCTGTGAATTAATTGAGGACATGCACAAAAAGTGCCGAGCAATAGCACCTGACTCTTGGTAAACATTTAATAAACATTAGCATGTTTGCTGGCACCATTAGGCTTGCAAATGGAAGGTCCTGGAAAGATACACAACATGCTATTAATATGGTTTTCTGCCCTAACCGGTCTGGCTCAGTGGATAGAGTGTCGGCCTGCAGACTGAAGGGTCCCGGGTTCGATTCCATAAAGGGCATGTACCTTGGTTGCGGGCACATCCCCAGTAGGAGGTGTGCAGGAGGCAGCTGATCGATGTTTCTCTCTCATCGATGTTTCTAACTCTCTATCCCTCTCCCCTCCTCTCTGCAAAAAGTCAATAAAATATATATATTTTAAAAATATGGTCTTCTCTGGGAATAGGAGTGGGATTGAAAAAAGGAGCAGATAGGAAGAGGACTTTCAGCTCTTTAGTTTATTGTTTGAATTTTTTCCTACCTCAAGGATGTACTACTTTTGTCATTTAAAGGGGATTTTTAAAAGACAAAATACATAAGACATGGTTCCAGCCCCAAAGGCATCCATAGAGGAGAGGTGGACACAGGCACACAGAAAGGCAGTAGCACAGGGAGGCAGGGGCTTCTCCGGGAGCGGGAGGGACTCGGGCCGGCTGGCGGTACCCGGCGTCATTCCTCGAGCTGTTCTTCTTGCTCACGATAGTCAGTGAGGGAGCCTTGGACACGAAGACGGTGAGCTCTGGGTTCTCTCCAAAACAACTTGCGAGATAAGGAAGAACACGTGAGCAGTGGACCCCTAATCTCGCTATGCAGTCGCTCGTGCCTGGGGAAAGTTTCAGGACCTGTGCTCTGGCTCAGATACGATAAGTGGTGTCTGTGGTTTTCATCCAGTGAGAGCCCAGGGGCCGGGCCGTGCAGTGTGCCCTGGGCAGGGCTGCCCACCTGAGGAGACAAGTAGGTCCTGAGATTCCGCCTGCCTGGAGGAATGGGCACCTTCTCATTTGTATGAGTACGCCGCGAGGACTACCAGGGGCCCTCACCTTGATGTAAAATAATACATTGGGCTGGTCCTAGGAGAAGTGGCTGAGGTGTATAGTTTATCCCTTTTCCAGTTCATTTTATGCGAGCTGTCATGCAGGATGACCCCTTTACAGGTCACCCAGCCCATCAGAACCTGGGCTCATGACACTTGTTCTGGTTAACATTTAATTTTTGAGAGGCCTTCAGTTTCCTGACTCATTTCTTTATCAGTTCCCATGTATGGCATAACCACTATCCACCAGGCACTGTGGTAGACCTGGCGATTGATGGTGGGCAAAGCAGACCCACGCTCTGTGCTCTTAGTGCTGATGATCCAGCCGGGAAGAGATGCATTAATCAAACAAACATCCAACAGTCATCGGTGACAACATGACCCAGTTAGGAGGTCAGGGAAGGCTTCCTGGAGGAAGAGACAATTAAGTTGAGATTTGAAGACTGTAGGTGTTAACAGTGAAATTTGTTTATCAAGCCCTGTTATGCACCTGGCATTGTGCTTGATATATCAACTTGTAATCCCCAAGAGTCCTGTAAGAGATCTATTATTTTTTATTATTTTTTTGTTAATCCTCACCCGAGGATACTTTTCCATTGATTTCTAAGGAGAGTGGAAGAGAGGGGGAAAGATAGGGAGAGACATCGATGTGAGAGAAACACATTGATTGGTTGCTTCCTGCTTGAGCCCCCACTAGGGCCAGGGCTGAGGAGGAACCTGCAACCAAGGTACATGCCCTCGACTGGAATCGAACCTGGGACCCTTTGGTCTGCAGGCTGACGCTCTATCCACTGAGCCAAACCAGTAGGACGAGATCTATTATTATCACTTGTATTTTAGTGATGAAGAAACTGAAGCTCAGAGAGGTGAAGTGACTTGTTCAAGGTCACAGAGCTGGGAAGTCATGGAACCAGTATTCGAATGCAGGCAGCTAGCTGATTTAGAAATGTAGGCATCATGGACAGATCATTGGGGAAGGGGTGAGGTGAGATTATTTGGGGTAGGCCAATGGGTGAGGCTGATCAAGATTATAAATATAAAGATGGAATGGTCACTCAGTGAAGGAGATCAAACCAGTATTTTGTTTTAAAATCTATTGAGTTTTATAGCTATGGGCCCATGTGTCTGATGGTTACCAACCTAATTAAAAACTGAAAGTTTGAGGTCATGAATTGTTTGTTGTAAGATACTAACTCAAGAAGGTGGGATCACTTATTAAATAGTGATAAGGCCCTAGGTTTGGCTCAGTGGATAGAGTGGGCCTGTGGACTGAAGGGTCCTGGGTTGGATTCTGGTCAAGGGCACATACCTCGATTGCAGGCTCCTCCCCCCAGCCTGGGCCCTGGTCGGGGCTCGTGGAGGAGGCAACCAATTGATGTGTTTCTCTTACATCGATATTTCTCTCTGTCTTTCCCTCTCTCTTCCACTCTCTCTAAAAAAATCAATGGAAAAATATCCTTGGGTGAGGATTAAAAAAAAAAGTGAATAAGGTTAACACCAATGATTGTGATCTGACAGGCAATGTCCCCAGAACCCCCTAGGTGGCAGTAGAGAGCAATGAGAGATACTTCCCCCTCCCAAAAAATTAAACGTCTGTGTTTATAGGTGTGAATGAACATGGTAAAAACTTCAAGTAGTATAGGAGGTATTGAATAAAAAAAACTAAAAGTTTCCCTCACATCTCATTCAAATCTCTATTTCCTTTCCCCCCAAATAAACTGTTGAGATTTTCTTGTATATTTTGGGGGGGGGGGCGGGGCAGCATTGGTTATAATGGTACTAGAGGTCCGGTGAGATCAGGCTAGCAGGGGAGGGCAGTTAGGGGCGACCAGGCAGGCAGGCAGGTGTGAGGTTAGAAGCCAGCAGTCCCAGATTGTGATGGGATGTCCGACCGCCAGTTTAGGCCTGATCCCTGTGGGGTCCCTCAGCCTGGCCTGTGGGATCGGGCCTAAACCGGCAATCGGACATCCCTCTCACAATCCTGGACCACTGGCTCCTAATCGCTCACCTGCCTGCCTGCCTGGTTGCCCCTAACTGCCCCTCCGCTGCTGGCCAGGTCGCCTCCAACTGCCCCCTCTCTGCCAGCCTGGTTGCCCCCCCTGCCGGCCTGGTTGCCCCACGCAGCCTGCTTGTTCAGTCGTTTGGTTGTTCCTCACTAACCCCCCTGCCGGCCTGGTCGTAGGCAGCCATCTTGTGAAGGCATGAGGGTTAATTTGCATATTACCTCTTTATTATTTAGGATAACTTTTTCCATAAAAAGTATTTGCTTATATATCTCTCTCTAAGAAATTCCAGCGCCCCCCCTGGGTATATATTTCCATGTCAGCACATACAGATAGTCCTCACTTTTTAAATGACTGCAGATTCCATAACAGTAATAGTTAATATTTATAGAGTGCTTACTGTATACTAGTACCTGCACTGTCCTAAACACTTTCCTGGTTTTAACCCACTTAATCCTCACAGAGTCCTAAGAGGGGCATTCTGATATTATCCCTACTTTTCATATGAGAAAACTAAGGGATAGTGGCTATGGAACTTGCCCAGCATCACAAAGCTAGTCAGTGGTGGAGCCAGCATTTGGGTGCAGGAAATTCAACCTCTGAATCTACACTCTTAACTACTATGTTAAACTCCAGGAGCAGAGATGTACCATATTTGACTTAGATCTGTGCTTTTGTAATAGTCTTTAAAAATT